AAGGATATGGAGCTGTTGGAGCAAGTCCAGTGGAGGCCATGAAGATAATCAGGGGACTGGAGCACCTCCTGCATGAAGACATGAGGTGGGGTTGCTGGCCAGACAACCCCCTGTTCTTCTCAGTGGTTACCTCTGACTGTCTCAACTCCACACTGTGTTTTCAACATGGAATGGAAAGAGAGGATCAAATACAGAGAGTCAAGGTCTGTGTAAAGGTAGGGACTTGAGACTCTGCACAGAAGGGATGAAAACCACCAGCATAATGACCTGCAGAGACTAGACCCATGGGGTCTGCCGGCAAAAAAGTGGGACATGGTCCAAATAGATATTGAGAACACCCGGGAGGAAGAAGAAAGCACACAGATACAATCTTACCATGCTGCCACACCCGCCACATTAAGTTCTAATTCCATCTGATGAATGCTATCCTACCATTCAGTTTCATGTTCAGATCTCCCTGTTTGCCAAAGGAAAAGTGTTGGATGGGGAGGCGAACTGCTCCCTGAAAGCTCTTGTGTTTCACAGGGTAGCTTACAGACATCTGAAGAAAGAGAAACACTACTCTGGGGAAACAGCGATATGTTTATTTTCAATGTTGGAGGCAGAAATGAAATTAAGTGTAAATGTATTCCAAAGCAGTGAAATCATATTTGCTTACTAATCTGGATTCCACCTCCTTTCTTCCCCCTCCCACCGAAACTAACAGTACCAGTCACTGTGCCTGTGTCGCCTCTTCCTCCCTTTCCTGCTTGCAGCCCAGTCCTGCTGTGCTCCTGCAGGAGAATTTCCCAGGAGACTGGCCTGCACCAGAAGTAAATAGAGGTCAGGACAAGAAAAGAGAGGAGGAACATGGGAATTGGAAGAAAGGCAACAGTGACTTGAGATCCAGGAGAAATGTGCCTGCTGTTCTTAAAACCACCTCTCTTAGCTTTTACCCCCAAAAAGGGCATTAGGGCATGCTTCTGCATTTCAAAGGGAATTTAGGCTGAACAAGGAAGGCTGGCCTCCCTCCAGAGGTGACCTGCCTTAACCCATGCCTTCCTGCTGCTCTTCAGTCTCTGGAGAACAGCTCTCTCTAAGGAGTATCAAAGCATACTATTAACTCTCTCCTGCTGTCAAATTAACTTGTTGCAAGGGGTTTTAAACTGGACTTCTTCATCAGGAGGAATAAAAATATGTGTTATTTTGCTTTCAGAACGATGTGCAGCATCATTTCTTGTGTATTGATTTAAATAATGTTAGCATTTTAAAAGGAGCAAATTGACTTAATTTGTTTAGGGGCTCCTTAAAGTTTGAGAACAATTTTATATGAGTTAAAATTAGTGATAATTCATTTATGATGGAACTGGTACAATTTATATAATTGCTGCTTATCTTTTTTTCTAATACATATATTGCTTTTAAACATCTGCTCAGTAGTCCATTATGGTAGCACGAAAATGATTTTATGTGAGAGCAATGGGGGAGCAGATGCTTCATGATGACAACTTCCGTGTTAGCTTAGGAAACAGCCAGTGGGTCCTGGTTTTAACTTGAGGCATGGCAAGCATGCAAGCAGATTTGCAAAGCAAAAACACAAAATTGAGAAATCAAATTACTTCATAGCATCTTTAATGATTGCAGTTTCGGCAATCCCCCCTCCCCTCCCCCCCCATTTATTTATTTTTTTTTCTTAATGCAGGTATGTTTGCTTTGTCTTTGACAGATCTAAGCAAAATGATGGATTTGTTTTGTGGTGTGTGTACATGCATGAGTGTTTTGTGGCAGTTACAGAGTCTTTCAAACTTAAATTGATTCCATGCTTGATGCAGTAATTAAAATTCAACATTAGCTCAAAAAGAGATAGGACAACAGTTAAAGAATGAAAAATGAATGTCTTCTTTTGGGCTGATACAAAACTTTCTGGGGCTCCATAGCTTTATTCAGCCATGCGTAGTTTTTCAGATGTTCCAAAAACCACCTAAAATGACTGCACTCATTTTGTTCATCTCATCAGCAAAGTTCATCTCTTCAGCTAGGGAGATACCATCAGAACTTTTAAGCTCCAAAATGTACTTTCCCTGCATAGATACTGTATGCTGTGCTTACAGAGACTAAAGTACAGGATTACACATCAGTGCTCTATCTTTTTTATGTAAGAAATCTTGAAACTGCTGTTTATGGAAGGAAAGGGGATTAGACGTAGCCCTAATAAGATTCAGCTATCTGCCTTTGTATGCAAATCACAAATACAGTGTGCTGATTTTCACTAGAAACAGCAGAAAAAGATTTGAGTATCTGAAACATATTTTGAGTAAGTGTGAAAACTTAGTACACGACTGAAGGCCATGTTGTTACAGAGCAGAAGTGTCAGTTTCAGGGTTTTTTTGAACTTTGTATTCAGCCGAATACTTGCTTTCAGAAACTGCTTAAACCATCAGTCAAAAAAAAAAAAAAAAATCCAGGATAATACAGAATAAATGTGTCCAAATGTATTCTGCTCTCCAAAAGAATAAAGCAGTAAAACTGCTGCCTTCTCTTCTGTGCTGCTTCTCCTGCCATCAGACTGTGTGCATCTACTGGGAAGGCCACTTTGGGATAAGATCAGCTTTCTCTGGAAATAATAGGATGTTTGGAAAAGTACCTGTGTCTGGTAATGGCAGGAATTCTTATGACTTTTCCATGGCTATCTGAAGGAACAGTGAAAGTAGAAAGTCTTCCCTTTGTTTTCTTTTACGTAATCCAGCAAATGATACTTACCAGCTGAAATCTGTGCTAACTCAGTAAGTTGAATTTTAATGATGAAGCTGTTCCTAGCTATGTTTATGACTTTCTGAGATAATAAGCCGGGTTTTAGTAAAGTGTGTTTTCCCTCATGGTATACAAGCTTGAGTATTTCATTTTTGAACGAGTATTAACTTACTTATTTTCCTAAGTATTTGGAGGTAATAAAGACTATGGCTTCTTTATCAGTCTAAAATAGTCACAAATTAGATACCAGTATTTGTGTAAGGGTATGCAGTCATTTTACCATTATATGTAGAAGCGTATATAGGAGGGGAAAGTACATACAGTTTTTTTCTAGAACAATACTATTTAATACATGAATGGGCAATCTTGCCATTTCCATGCGAAGTATTTTTCTAGAACAACGTAAACTAGTGACTAAGAAGTAGGCAAGGCCATAATATCTGATGAAACATTAATGTCTGTAAAGCAGTATGATTTTCATTCCAGGAGGCTCATCTGAAGGGCCTTTTTAAAGTTTAATGTAGGTTCAGTTCTGAATAAGAACTCTTTCTCATCCCCACCCCTACAAACTTGAAAACCAGTATTTGTCTTTTGTTCCCACAGGCTGCTGCTGTTCTTTCTGTTAGTATTCTCACTAAGAAAGCTCAGCCTACTATAGAGAAGAAACTTCTTGTTTTAATCTGTATTTCGCATCTGATCTGTAGGTAGGACATGTGTGAGGAGGAAAGAACTTGCCTTCATCGTCTGTTACACGTTTACATGGGAACTGGACATACAATACCTAACCTGTGAAGGCAGATACTGTTATCATCATTGTCCTTTATGTCCTTAGGATCCCTTCACATACAGTTGTTAAAACTAGGTTAACACAGAGCATTTTCTTTAAGATTCCTTTTCAGTGCCTCAGATATCTGTTTCCCGGTAAGATAAAATCAACCATTCCTGCCGCCATCCAAAATTTCCCAGAAACCTTCTGTTCTGTGCCCATTTATGATTTCCCATTCAATGTCCAAAAATTTACAGTACTTGGGTCTGTAGCTTCCCAAAGTCTGGCCTTTCCATTTGTGATCTTCTCTCCATGTGCTGCCTCCACAGCATCTGGTTGTCCAATACACTCAATCTGGGGGAAATCCCTTCTATGTGGGATATCAGAAAAAAATGGAAGTATCTTGTGTATCAATACTGTTATAGTTCATCAGGTTTTATATCTCTTCATAGATCAATTTATTGCTGAGTTAAGGATGTGAGATAAAAATGCAAAATAGCTTTAAATTTCGTGTGTGTTAAACTCGCAGTGTTCAAAGGAGGTTCTTCTCTGTTCAGTCATTTTTACTTTGCTTGGACAGGGACAGTAAGCCAGCATTCACCGTTGCTTGGCAATAGTCAAATTATGAAATGCACACCCAACCTGTGGGGTGTTACGGTTGCTTAGTTCATGTATGTAAATTTAGGGGTTTGAAAACCAAACAAGTCCACACCCATGGTATCTTCTTGGAAAGTTCGTTCTAACATTTAATCTTAATGTTACTATTAATTTAATGCTTCCATTTTCAGAGAGGTTGGGTATCTACAATTTTTAAAAAGTCAAACCAACTGTGTGCTTACCGCTGTTTGACTATAGATTTGAAATGTTAGGAAATCTCTGCTGCAGCAGGTATATTTCAATGCAGTAGGTTCAGTCTCTTCTGTTTTATTTCAAGTTTACAGTAAGTTTTACTTGCTTTACACCTGAAATCTACATTAACAGAAAAAGAAGTCTCAGTGTTAGAAGTACTATTAGCAAAAACAGCTGCTGGCAGAAAGTCTTTAGAGAAGGTAGAACAGAATTTTTGGTGGATACATCTGATTTGTCTTTTGGCAAGAAAAATCATATTATTTAAAGATACATTTTTGAAGTGATTTCTACTAAAGGTACTGAGGAGAGCTGCAGCTGTAGTCACCTTGTTGTACCAGTTATTGTGCCATAAACATTTTAGAGAGCTTTTGTCTTTTGCTTAGAAAGGCAGCCTGAACTTAGAAAGACTTGAGTTCTGCAGATGCTTACACACAGTTCATGTTTAGTGGAATTAAGTCTGTAAGATGTCTTTGTAGGGTTTGGACTTTGATTTTTTTTTTCCTGGGAATCCGTATGAGTACTGCTGTGAAAGGGGTGACGGCCATTATTTCCGTTCTGTTATTTACTGAATTTATTACAATAGTAGCAATTACTTTTCTCTTTATACACAGATGCAAAAGTTGATTTATTACTGTATTTGTGTTTGTTGTTTTAGGAGTCCTTGGATGATTCTCAAGTAGCTGGAGTTTGTGCAACAGAAGAAGTGGTTCGCTATGAATATCATGTCTTGTACTCCAGCAGCTACCAAGTACCTGTGCTCTATTTTAGGGCATGCTTTTTAGGTAAGACCAATCTTCTGTTAGACGAAGTAAAGAATAAAAATAATTTGGATGAAATATTTGTTAAATACACAGATTTTGTATTAAATTGAGGTACATAGTAATGATCATACGTAATAAGAAAGTAAGAGATGAGGCTGTTCAGTAGATTTTGTGGTAATCCTGACACAGCTTCAGGACCTTGGAGTAGATGATACCATCTCAGCCTGAAGGAGGCTGATCTTTGGCTCCTGGCATCTTGCCTGTGGTTGACTAAAACTGCAGGTCTTTTTTCTTGTTCTTTTCTTCAACTGAATACAAAAACTTAAAGGTGCATGTTTGAATTTGGCTATAAAATAAGGGGACATAATGACAGTGCTTCTGCAGAACTGTCTCTGTTTATTTTGGATCCTGAATTTGAGCCACAGGGCTGGGGTCTAAATGTACCTTTAAAAGTATACGCTGTTTTCCATTTAAATTTGCTTTATAATAATACCAATAAGGTGTTGCCTTCTTCTACATGTTAAAACTGGCTCCTGAAACACTGATACTCTTTCCTCCCTAATGCACACAACTTGTAACCCATTACTTAATTGCTATAGCCACTGTGATTTTACCCACCATCCTGTCAGGAAGGAAAGAGGAGCACACAGCCTCCTGCCAAGGCCACTGTTAGAGTCACTTACTTAATCAGCAAACAGAGAGTAATCACACTGCAGCATTGGCTGTGCTCTCTTCCCCTCTGCCCAAATACTGTGTATCTAGAGTGGAGAGATTGAAATCTTCCAACTCATTCAGTCTCCTTCATGTGTTGTGGTCGGCTGGGGAAGGGTGGCCAGGAAAAGGACCTGGGGGTGCTGATTGACAGGTGAACGTGAGCCAGTTTGTGCCCAGGCAGGCAAGAAACCAACAGCCTTTTGTCCTGTATCAGCAATATTGTGGCCAGCAGGACTAGGGCAGTGATTGCGCCCCTGTACTGGGCACTGAAGGTGCCCAGAGGCGAGGCTGCATCTTGAATCCTGTGTTCAGTTCTGAGCCCCTCACTACAAGAGAGACATTGAGGTGCTGGAGCGGGTCCAGAAAAGGGCAATGGAGCAGGTCCAGAAAAGGGCAATGGAGCTGGTGAAGGGCCTGGAGCAGAAGTCTGATGAGGAATGGCTGAGGCAACTGGGGGGGTTTAGTCTGGAGAAGAGAAGCCTCGGGGGGGGGGGGGGGGGGGGCTTACTGCTTTCTACAACTACCTGAAAGGAGAATGGAGCCAAGAAGTGGCCGATCTCTTCTTTCAAGGAAGAAGTGACAGGGCAAGAGCAAATGGCCTCAACCTGCACCAGGGGAGGTTTAGATGTATATTAGGAACAGTTTCTTCACTGTGTGAACTGGTGGTCAGGCTTTGGAACAGGCTGCCCTGGGAAGTGGTAGAATCACTGTCCCTGGAGGAATTTAAGTGTGTGAATGTGGTGCTTAGGGTCAGGGTAGACTTGGCAGTGTTAGGTTAACAGTAGGACTAGATGATCTTAAGGGTCTTTTCCAACCTAGTTAATTCTATGATCAGCATCTTTTGTGTTGTGAATAATCTTCTAATCTTTATTTAGATAAAAATGTCTGAATGTTGACAGTGATATCTTTTCCTTTTTAATTAAAAAGTTAGCTTAAGCTGCTTTGAATGTGTTTGGAAAATTTAATCACTCTCTGCTTTATATTGTTTAATGGTTTCTAATTTTGCAGTGTTAGCTTTTTAAAAGGCACTTCAGATTTAAAATTGAAGAACAAATTCTCATAGACTCCCTGGTGGAAAGGTTTCAGTCTGAGGTGCAGTTTCAGGAATGGATAATTTGGGGTAAATTTTCAAACTGGGACATGGAGAACTGGGGACATTGCTCTGCCTTTACCACCAACAGAACTCATTTGCACACATCCTACTGCAAATCTATTTCTAGAATTATTACAGGCATTTACAAACGTGCAGTGTTTTGCCTTTAAACTTACTCTGCTGACAGGAAAATGAAGAAACTTTTGCTGTAAGAGACAGATTAACATATCTGTGGTCCTGAGAAATGTCATCTTCTTAGTTTTTAGCTGAATTAATAGTTCTCTGTCTCTAAAGGACATAGAGGAAGTAGGACACTATTTCTGTTGTACTGTACTTTCATATAATTAGTATTCGCCATAAGCAGTTAATCACCAGAGAAGAACTCACAGAGACAAAACAAGTTGTTTAGCTTGTCAGCATCAGAGAATTCGAGGTGTTGAAACATGACTCCTTATAGCTGGAAGTGCATATTATAAAGCTAGTGGATGATCTAGTGCACAATCGTAGTATTATGTGCCAACAGCTCCCCTTGCAGTACAAACCCCGTAATTGTTCCTACAAGTACCATTATGTTTTAAAACACTTCTTGAGAACCTTCACAATGAAAAACAAGGACTTTTTTTTAGGCGACTCCTAAAGTCACCTGGATTCTCCTTAGCATATAACATTCTCTTTTAACATTTAAGAGTCTCTGACTCTGCAAGATAGAAGGACCCAGAATGCTGGCAATAGTTGCATTTCCTGTAATGTTTTCAGCTAGTATTCTCTGATTTTAATTATTAATAGCTTACTGTTGAAAATTAAAAATTTTTTGTCCCTGCAAGTTATTTGCTTGCATGTGTCACACTGTGTGAAGGTCCAGACATGGGGTTTTGAGGAACGTGCAAATGACAGTCAGTCACAATCACATGGGGTGTTTGAGCAAAGTATCTTTTGTCTTGTCCTGAACCTGTTATGAGGAAAACTCTAGGTAATGCCCTAAATTATTTTTTTTCATTTGAAGTAATTAGTAGTCTTCATGTGATAGGCTTCTCACCTTGTTACCCAGAAGGTAGTAATACTCACTTCTCTAAACTAATCAGAGGAGACTCTTCTGAGACCTACATCAATTTCCCAATCTAAATTCCTAGCATTATTTGTAGATTAAGTAATAGAATTGGTTCCTCATAAGTCTCTCATGAGCTGTTCTTGGTTTCCCTTGAATTCTGTCCATACTGATCCTCATGTTAATTAGAACTTGTTGCAGAAGGTGAAGGTGAGCTATCCTCCTTCCAGTGTTTCCACAGCCCTGCCCTGTCTTGCCTTCCCCAGGAGCAAGGCACAGAGTTTGAATTAAAGACTCTGCTTCCTCTCTGGCAGAATGTTAAGTGGCCATTACACCTCTAGGCCTGCCTAGAAAATCATAATTCTTCTGTTCAACCTAAGTAGTTTTGCTTGTTTTACAATATTCATTTCCTCACTTTGTGTGTTATAATAGCAGCTGGTGCCAGCCTGTACAAATCTGTGCTCTTCCAAAGAGTCTCTTTAACTTCTAGAACAATTAAACCATGACTTTCTCCCATCATATGTGAGTTCAGTTTTCATTGACTTGCAGTCCCTCCCAGGAAAAAGGCTTCTGATAGAGTTGCTGAGAGATTTTCCTGTTGTCTTTAGTGTAGTTACCATCTGCAGGAGCTTGTGTCAGTGAGGACACCCAGTTTTCACTCCTCTCTGCTAGCGGTTGTGCTCCAACATTGTAAATCAGTTCTTCCTGCAGAAGGGTAGAAGTTCCATTCTATGCTTACCTTCCTGCTGTCTAAATTTGATGGTTCAGAGGGACCTTGACAGGCTTGTGAGGTGGCCAGTGCAAACCTCATGAAGTTCAACAAAGCTAAGTGCAAGGTCCTACATAGGGGTTGGGGCAATCTGAGGCACAGCTGCAGGCTGGGCAGAGAAGAGATTCAGAGCAGCCCTGCGGAGAAGGACTTGGGGGTGTTGGGTGATGAGAAACTGAACATGAGCTGGCTTCAGTGCGCACTCATCCCAGAAAGCCAACCGTATCCTGGACTGTATCAAAAGGATACAACTGGAACAGGCTGCCCAGGGAGGTTGTGGAGTCTCCTTCCCTGGAGACATTCAAAACCCGCCTGGGCACATTCCTGTGTAACCTTATCTAGGTGTTCCTGCTCCGGCAGGGGGATTGGACTAGATGATCTTTCGAGGTCCCTTCCAATCTCTAGCATACTGTGATACTGTGTGAAAAGGAGCATGACCAGCAGGTCGAAGGAGGTGATCCTGCCCCTCTACTCTGCTCTTGTGAGACCTCACTTGGAGTATTGTGTGCAGTTCTGGTGTCCTCAACATAAAGAGGACATGGAACTGCTGGAACAACTCCAGAGGAGGGCCACAAGGATGATCAGGGGACTGGAGCACCTCCTGTATGAAGATAGGCTGAGAAAGATGGGGCTGTTCAGCCTGGAGAAGAGAAGGCTGCATGGAGACCTCATAGCAGCCTTCCAGTGTCTGAAGCGGTCTTATGAGGATGCTGGGGAGGGACTTTCCATCAGGGACTGTGGTGACAGGACAAGGGGTAACGGGTTCAAACTTAAACAGGGGAAGTTCAGGTTAGATACAAGGAAGAAGTTTTTTCCTGTAAGGATGGTGAGGCCCTGGAATAGGTTGCCCAAAGAAGTTGTGAATGCTCCATCCCTGGCGGTGTTCAGGTCCAGGTTGGACAGAACCTTGGGTGACATGGTCTAGTGTGAGGTGTCCCTGCTCATGGCAGGGGGGTTGGAACTGTATGATCTTAAGGTCCTTTCCAACCCAGACCATTCTAGGATTCTGTGATTTTCTGGAATTCTTCTTTAGACCTCTATTTTTGGTGAAGCAAAGTTTGATATGTGAGATAGTTTAAAGTAAGGGTTTGAATTTTTAATTGCAACTGAACGCTTTTGAGAGATATCAAAACTTCTTTAGATTTACAGAGAAGATCTTGTTTGTGCAAGGACAAATACTTCAGCTGAAAATAATGATTAAGTATTATGACTGTCTGAAAAGGTGTTTGGGAACATTACAGGATACAAGAAGGTATGTTTATGCTGCATATATGTACACAGGTAGGAAACATTTTTCACTACCTGATGATTCTTCCCATGTGGCATGTAGTCATGAAATCAGACTTACTGAAGCCCCACTCTGTCAGGAGCCCAAGGCAATGGTCCTCAATACTTCAGAGCATCAGAGACCTAGCTATTACTTCTCCAAAATCAGTCTTATGCATGCCACACTGTTCAGAAATGGGAGCCCTTCTTTTTTCCTCTGGCTTCTGAGATTACCAAATAGCTTGTTGAAGAAAAGCATGAACCCCTGCTGATATCTGATGTCAGCAATTAGCCCTCTTAGAGACAGATGGTATAGCAAATTAGCCTTTCCCTTCAATGCTGGCATGAGCCAGATGGGCTGGGCTAGGTCCAGTAAGCTTTCTTTAATCAGCGGAGTACTTTTGCCTTTTCTTAGTCTTTAAGATGTCAAGGAACTTTGGTCTTTTCCTGAGCTGTCATTGTGTGAAGCCAGACATTCAAAAAGTCTCTTCCGCCAGTGGTGAGGTAGCAGCAATACAGACATCGTTCAGGAATCACCCTGCATTTCTCAAACGTTTTTTCTTATTTTTTCCTACAAAGGCAGAAGAGTAATCATGAATGCTGAGCACTGAAAAGAAAGAGCAGAACTAATGGGAGTCAATAAGGACTGCAGCCTAACTCCTCTAGAAAACAGAGAAGTAATGGGATTCTCATGCTGACCTGCTCAAAATACATCTAGCTCTCTGACATGCAGATAGATCTCTGCCAACAAAAAAACATGCTAATCAGTAGTTATAGAGAGAGGAAGCTTGTAAAGGTAATGTAACTTCCTCCAGCCCTGAAGGGGTGACATTCTGTACTCATAACCATGTTGGGCCTTCACTGATGCTCTTTCCAGAGTATGAATTTACTCCCTGAACTCGGAAGCATGCAACCACTGTATCCTTTCTCACAAAGATAGCTCTTCCTAAGGCCGTGTCCCATATGAACTTTTATTGTGGCCTTGGACAGAAATAAAATGGAATAATTTGTATACTCAGATATTCTCCTAAGGTGTAAGGGTATTTTTTTCTTTTGTGGCAATGTTTTCTTAAGAGTGTTTCTTTGGAAGGCGTGCCAGAATGAAGCCTCAAAATGATTTGTGCACTGTTTCACCAGAAGTGTCAAATAACCTTTAAATGGAAATCCAGGAAATTATTAAAAGCCCGCAGTAAACATCAAGAAAACAGAATACATCAACTTGGGAAGCCTGAAAATTTTCTCTGAAAATGGATATGAAATTTGTATGCTTAAGAAATTTCTGCTCTTTGCAGAAATTAAGGTGCTAAGTCAGCTGGGATCTGCAACTCATATGTAGTCTTAATGCTGCACCTTGCTGCTGTGTGGGGGCACTCAACCATCTGCTTTGTAACTGTTTCTTACTTGGGTGACCTAAGTGAGTTAACCCCAAGTGGACCATCAAGGAGCTTTTCTCAGAATAAGGTTGTCATAGTCTGGACAGTTTGAATAATAAAAATTTGAGTGTGTGGTAGAAAGGCTGTAGTTACTCTTTCCTGACTGTTAAGACGGATGAACTGGTTGATGGAGCCCATAATTATGGCAGAGACAAACCCCATAGTTTGGAGTGCTTGACTCCTATCCTTTATCTCCTTTCTCTTAATAAAAATCTTAGTTGGCTACTGCCCATGTTCTTTTGGTCTTTCTTGCTAGGTACATGTCAGGTTCATTCTGTCTGAGCCTGGGGTTAGTACTGATGAGCTGGTGATGTGTTACATGCCAGATTTGTGGCATTATCGGCAAGAGCTCTGGACAAAAGTACAGTAAATCTGGCATGACTCACAAGCAGCTGTTGCTTTGTGATACACATTTTCTTTCACCCTCTGTCATTATTTAATGGGCTGAATGATAGAAAATGTACATGTAACCACAAGCTTTCACTTTGGTTTGCATACCTGCTGCCAGCTAGACTTGGGATGAGACTTGGGACAAGCTGCAGGCACCTCAGCATCTGTGTTGTCGTGGGTGGATGATGAATAAATGTATTGCTGGGTGAATCTCAAGCCTTTGCCTTCCTTTCCTGCCACTTCTCTTGGCTTGATGCTGATGCTGCCTTCTTTTTCTGGCTGAACTTTTTGAGTTCAGCTCCATCACGGGAAAGAATAAAACAAGAAACAGAAAGGCTGCTTGGCTCAGCAGGTACCACAGTGGCCTCTTGTTGCTAGCAGCAACACTTACAGACTGCTGTGCCACCCCAGCTGGATATTTGAGGTCTCAGTGGGCTGCTAAACATGTGAATACTGGCAGCCTTGGAAAAAGGGGTCTCAGAGTGTCCAAAGAATACAGATTCATGTTTTATGCAAACCTGGGAACTTGTGAATAAAATGAGTTCACTTATATTACCCTAAACAGATGACCGAATTCACACAGAAGTTCTGAAATATGAAACACAGACCTAGATGCTACCTGAAATGAGTTTTATTGTCCACACTTACCTTCTGACACAGAAACAGCAACAAACCCAAAATAGACTGCAAAAAGTAAAAACTATTCTTCTTCCTCCCCAGATGCTTTCTAACAGATAGTCCTTCTGTTAGTCATTTTAAGATCTTACCACACTTGGGGTTTTTCTTTGACTTTTCTTTTTCTTGTTCCTTGTTTTCTTCTTCTTTCTTTTTTTCTTCTTTTTCTCTCCTTTTTTATTTATTTATTTATTTATTTATCTATTTATTTATTTATTTATTTATTTATTATGAGAAAACATCAGACTTTTAGGTCTTCATCCTGCAAAAGAGGATGGGGAAACTACCCATCCACTGCGTCTCCTTTTGCAGGGGTCTTGAGTTCCTAGCTCTGTAGCTGAACTTCTCATCCATTTTAAGTATTGATAACTTACTCTTTTCCTGCTGCATTTGGCCTTCCATCATCTAGAAAAGTCAGCTAGTCAGTTAAATAAGAGTTTACAGGAATACACTTCTTGGGAGCATGTGTGAAAGCTTATTCAGTTTAAAAAACACACTCCATTCAAAACTCATTTAAAGCTTAGTGAATTGTATTAAAATAGTGCAGAGGATTAAAAACTTAGGGAAATTTAAATCCAAGCGTATTTCAATATGTAAGTGCATTATCAGAATGCCCAGGTCAATTTTTTATACCTATGTGAAACACTGCAATTGCTATGTAGTTACTGTCTGTGATCTCACTTCAATGTGAAGTGAAACTTCTGGATTGGATGTATTTGTATTTTTTTGCTGAAATTAAAATAATTTATACTGAAATAGGACTGAAGATAAACTGCTTCTCATACATGAAGTAATAAAGACAAAACTCAATTTTAACTATGATTAATGCGTGATTGTTTCTGTAAATGAGATTAATGGTAAGGGTCAGAGTAAAATCCATTCCATATGTACAGTCTGAATTTGCTTGTTTTAAAAATTCACAAAGAAGGGTGTACAGAACAAAATACAGAATGACATATCAAATCTTGCATTAGAATGTATGTTGTTGTAGATGTTACATTTGGGCTTTCTCTGGATTCTTTTTGCAGGGTGAATAGAAAACAGAGAATTATAAGTATGCACAGCATCTTGCTATTACCTGCACACAGATGATCTGAGCATAAATACATCTTTCTAAACTTAACTTGCATTCTTGTAATAAATTTCTTAGAAATGTAGACTATCTCCAGCATAGTTCTGGTGTCTGCCACCATAAGACATAGGGCATGACAGCTTAAGTAGTCTCATGTTCATGAGGATGGCATAGTACAGCAAGTTTATAAGCTGTTACCCCATCAGATACATTAATTGCCACATGCTTCTGCTGTATGGTGCAGAATTTTGTAAATTCAGAGTTTGGTGCTTTTTTTATAAAGATGTGCAGAAAATAAGATAAAGCAGAGGCTGTAGGCAGCTGGTTTTAAGTTATATCTAAACATGGCATTCAAATGTTAATTGGGTGAATAAATCTTCATTTTAGAGACATGAAAATGTTAGTAGAATAAAATTATTTATGACAGAATAATGGTTTCTGACACCTAATAAATACTAGGATGGAGCCACTTACTGAAAGTATATAAAAATATTCTGTTGCTCTTTGCCAAAAACAAAAATTCAGGAAAAAATTGACATGCTTATTTTCCAAGAGGTTGACACTAATATCTTTGGCATAATTCTAATATCACAGATAAAAACCTGATGCAACAATGCTATATAAATGCTGCTCAAGAAAAAAATATGGGCATGTGGGTTACCAAATTGTGGTAAACTTTGTTAGCAGAATTTTGCAGATTTTTTCCACTCTTTCAGTGTGAATTGCACGTATTTACAGTGGAATAGCTGTTCATGATATTATTTTGTGGTTTTGAATTTATCTTACCCAAGCATTATTTTACAAAATCAGTTTGACTTCACACCTTACAAACAGAATTGTTGCTCTCAGGTGACAGAGAGGAAGGCTGCAGAGGGAATCAGGGTAGTTTTATATGCACCCTCAGTCAGCATTGAAACAATGTGGTTTCGGAGTTATGGGTCCAGGAGGGACTGTTTTGCTGTTATTTTTCCATCTATTTCATGGTAATCTGTATTTTCAGATTTTGCTATTCTGCATTAAAGATACAGCATGATTAAAAGCTTTGACTTTGGGTGGTGGTTTCTCCCCCTCCACAGACGGAAGACCTTTAACTCTGGGTGAAATATGGAGAAGTGTTCATGCATGTTACCAGGATCGTCTGCAGGAGGGGCCCTGGGACACTATTACACAGCAGGTGAGAAACCATTGGTCCTTTACAAAACTGATGAATGCAATATGTGCCTGAATCCTCAGTAGTCTTATTCCCTTCCTGGACACAAGTGGAATACATAAAAGCCTGAGGTTGTGCTGAGCTACAGCTACCAACAATAGTTTTAGCCCTGAATTTGAAAGATGTGTAAGTGTTCACCATATAAGACTTAATGTATCTCACTTAAAATACTTTTCCAAAGCCAGGCCTGAAAACATCAGGCCATGTCTGAATAATCATGGATTTGGGTAAATACAAAAGTAGACTTACTTGTGTAAGTAATATATACTAGTGTAACATTTCACAGATTGTCTGTGAGTCAAATGGGTAAAAAACACTGTAGTTTTCAATTTTAAATAGACTTGCAGTCCTTAGGATTGAAGGAGAGAAAAAATTGTTCTCTCAACCAAATGGTAAGTTATTGCCAACTAAAGTCCTTAAGAATCAGTAGCTAATGGATGCTGTGTTTTACAAAAGGAAGCAGAAATGTGATATCACTGACTTCTTTTAGAGCTATTCAACTCACTTTTATTTAAAGTGGTTTTAAAGTCACCACAGCATTTCAGCAGCTCTTTCCAGACTTGTGATGATGGCTGTCTTGGAAATGGCCACACTTGCCTCAAGGAAGAGTCAGAAATGTTTCAGAGCCGAGTTGTTTCCTGTGGTTTCTTCTTCCAGCTCCAGGCCTCCAGTGCAAGTTTGGACAAAGAATAGAGACCTTCCAGGTGTGAATTGTTTATCATCAAAGATACTAATGTGTCCTTTTTTCCTTCCCTTTCCTTCCTTGACTTTTTGGGTTTAGCTGTTCCAGGTATACAGGTCTCTTACCGCACAGCTGGCACAACAGGGATGTAGCCTCAACTGAGTTCTGCAGGTGTTTCCTTAATTCAGCTAATACAATTTAATTACAGGACGCCTGTTTGTCAATGGTACTCAGTCATAGGAACACAAGCAGAATTCATGTTTTTGCCACCATGGACTATTACTTACATTATAATAGCTCCCTGAGAACCTAACAAGCATTGATTTTCTGATGTTTGCTATGCATATCTGAATTCCAGGTGCAAGTTTTCAGATTCTTGCTACACGCATTTTTACATAAAACATCAATTACCTGACTTGTCTAATGCAGAATGAAGATGAGAGAGGTTTTAACAAAATAATGTAAAATGGTAGCAGATAACTGATCTGCACAAGAAAGTTCAGATTTTTCAGTAAAGTTTTATGATTTATATCTGAAGTTTCAGGTATGTTTCTGCATAGAGAGTATCCTGAGTTCAGCTGTAGCAATCATTTTTCTCCTTCTCAGTAGCTAGTGCAGTGCTGTATTTTCGACTTTAGCCTGAGAACAACACTGGTAACCCCTATGTTTTTGGCTGTTCCTAGGTAATGTTTACACTAATCAAGGACTTTTTCAGTCTCATGCTCTGCCAGCGAGGAGGGGCATGGGAAGCTGGGAGGAAGCAGAGACAGGACACCTGATGCAAACTAGTAAAAGGAGTATTCCATACCACAGCATGTCATGCCCAGTATAGAAACTATGAGATCGCTGCTCAGGTCGGGCTGGGTATCGGTTGGCAGGTGGTGAGCGGTTGTATTCTCTTCCCTTGTTATTTCCCTTATCATTATTATTACTGGTGGCACCAGTAGTGATTTGTGTTATACCTCGGTTACTGGACTGTTCTTATCTCAACCTGTGGGAGTTACATTCTTACAGTTCTTCTCCCTATCCCTCTGGGAACTGGGGGGAAGAAGGTGGGGGAGGGAGTGAGCTGCTGTGTGGTTCTGAGTTACCAGCTGGGCTTTCAACCATGATGGAGAGGCAGAGAATTCAGGTAATTTTGCCTTCACTGCATCTGCATTCTTCCATTCCTAGTTGACAGAGATCAGTATCCCTGTGGTCAGATGCTAGGAATCCTTTAGGGCTGACATCTCTGGTATTTCCCAGCTGAGCTGTTCTGGCTTGTGGATAGTTTATATTGGAACTGTATGATCTTAAGGTCCTTTCCAACCCAGTTCATTCTATGATTCTATGATTATTTTTGCCTCTGAAGGAATAATAATGTAAAACTGTCCTGCATCTAATAACTAGATATGTGTGTGAGACACATACACACAAAGGCCTGCAAAAACAGATTTTATGGGTGGTAAAATGTGTGGAATGCTGAACCTGTGACACTGCTCCAGAGGTGGTTCAGCCAATGTGAGACCAGTGGCAAAACACACGCTAAGATGTAAGAAAAAGCGTTTTGGAGAACTTAGCAAAGGTTATAGCAGCAAAGAAACTGTTGAATATAACATCAGTGTGAGTTTACATTAAATAAGGGGATTACAGAATAAGTTAAACTATTCATCACAGAGCACAATACTGGAACTGCTGGCAGGTAGCAGAAGCCAGAGAAGTTAAGATCCTCCAGCAGTGCCACTACGTAAATTGGAATTACTTTACTTCTTTTTCTACACTATTTCATGTCCTCCGTCTTCCTGAATACCATGTACCTGTGCCTTAAGGTGGTTGAATTCCACTTGTCAGTGAGCTTATTGTGCTTTACATCAGTATTGAACTTTGTCCAGAGGCCCCAGCTGTATTCCTGGATTGGAAATATACTTTCCCACATGTCTGCAAGAGAAAGCCTCTGGGAAATCGGCTTTAAGAGGTCTACAGTTTTAATTTTAGATGAAAGCAAAACGGCACCAGGGAGGGTACGTTTGCCTGTGGTTATTGAGCCAAATGATAAGAAGACAAAGGAATGTGTGGTTGATAGAAGCATACATTTCTGGAGCTGAATCAGAGCTGAGGAAAGCACTAGTACATGCAGCAGTGTCAACACTATCACATACTCATTGCCAGCAACCACTGGTGCAACAAACACATCCCTCTGTACGCTGAGAGATGCATGTGCCAGTCCAAATACAAATAGCAGTAAACCCCAGAGTATTCTCAAAGAATTATGAAAGATAATGTAAACATACTGTAAGCACTAGCTGGCAAGCCGCAGATCAAAGCAAGAGTTAGGTCTAGGAGAAAAAGAGCATTCAATTCAGGGTTCTGACTTGAAATACAGCCTTCTCTTTCCTTCCTGCTTTTGTGCTGACCCATTTTGTTATGTGGGTTAGGCTTTGCCTGCAGGGACACAGATCGTATAATACAAGTCACTGGGCAAACTCACCAAATCAGGCTTGAAGTCTCAGTACAGATGAACAGCAGAGAGAAAAGGTTTAGGGTTTTGCTTCAAACAGTTACAGATTGAAAATTCTACAAACAATCCATCCGTGGGAAGAAAATCCAAGTTTTCCGTTGGCCGTGCATGTTACTTACCTTTTAACTAGGGCCAATTTTGCACTTTGATTCAATATTTGGCAGGTTAGGAAAAGAAAGTCATACTGCCTTCTTTTCTCACAGGTCCAGGATTCACACTAATAATTTGGGACTTATATCCAATGTATTTAAGGAAATACTGGTGTCATGCCTGTGCACATTTTTGATACAACTGTATTTTGGCTTATAGTCTCTTTGGTAAAATGTATGAGATCAGGAACTGAGACATTGCCTAAACTCCAAACAGTTTAATTTTTTTGCCATTATATTGCCAAAAAAACAAATTTAGGTAAAATTTGAACTTTCTGTAGTTATTCTTGATTATTGTGGAAAGCCACACTCAGTTTCAGAAAAAGAATCTTCAGATATTTGTGCTGACTAGATTATTCTTACTGCAAAAAAGCAAAAATCAACTAGTTACCTTCTCATAAATAAATTAACATGATAAGGTTGCATAGTATTTTATAATGATAATTGATAAATGGTGATGATTTAATTGCACTTCCTCTAGTAATAATCTTAAAAGGCTCAAATGAAGTTCCTATGATTGGCTTTCTTCGGAGTTAAATCTCCCTAGAGTCTTCAGTCATCCGTTTCCTACATCCGGTGGCAACTTGCTTTAGCTGTTTTAAATACTACAAATCAATTATAACACACAGCTGTTTAACAAAACTTCTAAATGTTGCTACAGGTCTCTGTAAGTATTTCCTAATGGCTTATAATGACATCAGTTTAGCACACCTGGTAAGGTCTGTGTGAGCTGGAAGTAGTTTAAATCTGAAATGACAGCAAAATTAAGGATTATTTATGGATTATATTGCATTTCAGAACCATTGCCTACTGTTATTTTAACTTCTTTTTATGAAGAGTCAGAAGTGGAATTGCAGACGTTGCTGAATAGTTTACTTGTAACTTGGTGGGTGCGTTTGAGGATACCCTGTGTATTAGTTGCATTTCTCTACAATCTACATGAAAGAAAGTCTCTTCATCTTTTTGAATCAATGGATTCAAGAAATGTACTCTTTCCAAGAAGCTCCCTTCCAAGTCTTTATAGCTTGTCCTGAACTGTAAGCAGGGCTTTACTCAGTTGTCCCTTACTTGGATTTTCCTGTTCAGCTTGATACATGATGGATGGAATCCCAGCCCTGCATCCTCCATATTACCCTGCTGTGTAACCTTCTGGGCTCCTCAGCCTCCCAGCCCTGGTGTTTTCCTGCCTGCATTGCTTTTTAAAAGTACTTACTAAGCCAGTTATCTATCAGTCATAAGAGCACATAAAAGATCTAGATGTTTGGAAGAGTGCTAGGTGGGAGAAGCTGAAAATAGATGAATATAAAGATAACTCTAAGGCTCTTGAGAACATTTCAGTTAATAGTGTAAAACAAAACCAAGACACATTCTCCAAAAACTCAGGCAGAAGTCTCCAGCTAAAAGAAAGTTACAGTAGAGGGAAAGAAAAGTCTTGGCAAAAGAATAATCATGTCATCGTGGTAATGGATGACATCAAGAGGCATGTATTTCTCTCCAGTGTGCTTTGATACTTGACAGAGATGTCCAGTAGAGCTTTAGATAAATACATAATGGCATTGTGTAAACCAACTCAAATATGAAAGTCCTTCTTTGTAGTAACGGAGCGGCAGATCCACCACACTAATATCCAGGTATG